TATTTAAATAATATTTAATTTAAATAATAACTCTCTTCCTGTCCCAATCCTGTATCATTTTAAATGGCACTTTTATCTACCTAGTTACTTAATCTACAGATCTTGGCCTCTCCTAAATATTTCTCTTCTTCCCACCTCCGTATCCATTGCATCAGTAACACCACTCTACTATACAGTTAGAACATGTCCCAAAGCCCTTCACTTCTCTCCATCTCCATCTCCATTACCTTAGTCCAAGCCATCATCTCTCAACTGGACCAGTGTAACAGTGTAATAGCCTCATAACTGGTCTCCTTGCCCCTCTGCAATCCATTCCTCAAACAGTAGCTAGAGTGATCTTCCTAAAAGATAAAGCAGATCAGAGCACTCCCTGAATAAAACTCTCTGTTGTTCTTAAGTGTTGTCGAGTCGTTTCTGACCCATAGTGACCCTGTATAGGGTTTGCAAGGAGCAATTGGTGAGCCTAAATTGCCGACCCTGAGGTTCAAAGCGACTTTGCAGTCCAGCGCATTAACCCACAGCGCCACACCCAACTCCATAAAACTTTCTAATGGCTCCCAAATCACCATCGAATGAAATCTTAACTTACTATCTTGGCTTGGTGGTGGTGGTGTGCCATGGAGTTGGTTCCGACTCTTAGCGATCCTGTATAGGGTTTCCAAGGCTGTAAATCTTTACAGGAGCAGAACGCCTCCTCTCTTTCCCGTAGAACAGATGGTAGTTTCGAACTGCTGACCTTTAGGTCAGCAGAACAATTTGTAACCACTACGCTACCAGAGCTCTTACCTTGGCTTTGTTTTTCTTGTTAGGTGTCATTAAGTAGGTACCGGCTCATAGCGACCTCATGCCCAGCAGAACAAAACACTGCCTGATCCTGGGCCAACCTCACTACTGTTGCCACGCTTGAGCCCACTGATGCTGCCACTCTGCCAATCCATCTCACTGGGGGTCTTCCTCTTTTCTCTAACCCTGCTCCACCTTACCAAACTTGCTATCCATCTCCAGAGACCATTCCCTCCTGGCAATATGTTCAAAGTATGAGAGACGAAGTTTGGCCATCCTGGCCTCCAAGGAGCACTCTGGCTATATTTCTCCCAACACAGATCTGTTGGTTCTTTTGGCAGCCCATGGCACTTTCAATATTCTTCTCCAACACCATAACTCAAATGAATCAGTGAATTCCTTATTCACTGTCCAGCTTTCACATGTATATGAGGTCATTGAAAATGACCTCATATTGGGTCAGGAGCACCTCAGTCTCCAGGCTGACATCTTTGCTTGAATCACTTTAAAGAGGTCTAGTGCAGCAGATGTGGCTAACGCAATACATCGTTTGAGTTCTTGACTGCTGCTTCCATGAGTGTTGATAGTTGATCCAAGAAGAATGAAGTCCTTGACAACTTCACTCTTTTCTCCGTTGATAAGAATATTGTTTATTGGACCAGTGGTAAGGATTTTTGTTTTCTTTACATTGAAATGCAATCCATACCAAAGGCAGTGGTCTTTGATCTTCATCAGTAAATATTTTAAGCCCTCTTCACTTTCAGCAAGGAAAGTTGTATCATCTGCATATCGCAGGTTGTTAATGAGTCTTCCTCCAATCCTGATGCCATGTTTTTCTTCATAGAACTCAGCTTCTCGGATTATTTGCTCAGCATACAGGTTGAATCAGTATGGTGAAAGACTACACCCCTGTCGCAAACCTTTCTTAATTTTAAACCATCCAGTGTTCCCATGCTCTGTTTGAACAACTGCCTCTTGGTCCATGTACAGATCTTGACTTACATAACTCAAAACTATCTGACCTCTCTTACCTTTCTTGTCCCCCTTCTTTCCCCCACCCACTCGCACTGTTGTAGAGTAGAATCCGACTCCTAGCAACCCTCTAAGAATAGAGTAGAACTGCTCCATAGGGTTTCAGAGGTTGTAAATCTTTATGAAAGCTGACTGCCTCATCTTGGTATCACAAAGCAGCTGGTGTGTCCGACACACTCACCTTTTGGTTAGCAGTCAAATTCTTAATCCACTGCACAACCAGGGCTCCTCCTTTTTCCACATTCCTACTAAAACCCAGCTTCACTGCCTTCTTTGTTTTCTATGAAAACTGCCTAGCTCTTTCTAGCTTGAGGGCCTCCATATTAACAGTCCCTTCTGACTGGAAGACTCTGACCCCTGAACACCTTGAGATTATGTCATTCAGATCTAGGTTCTAATGTCCCCCTTAGGTAGAACTCACCTGACCATCACCCATTTCATACTACATCCGTCCATTTGAGTTCTCTAAGAAGCACTTAGCATGATTTGAGAATCTCAATTAAAAAATAAATAATTTGTGTATAACAGGTTCCACATTATAACTAGAAACTTTGTGAGAACAAGAATTTTGTCTGTCTTGTTCATCATTGTACTCAAAGTCTGAAATACAGTGCAAAAAATAAACATGTATGAATTGGATTGCTAGGTTTTTTTTTCATTCAACCCAATTCTAGCTAGCTAATGAACTAAGAATGACTATGGACAAATTCCTGGTACCATAGAGGATTATGAGCTCGGTTGTTAACTGCCGGGTTAGCAGTTCACCAGAGAAGAAAAGGCTTTCTGCTCCAGTAAAGATTTATAGCCTTGGAAACCTATACAGTGTTGCTGAGTCAGAGCCAACTCAAGGACACCACCACCAGGAGCAAGTTAGGAGTCCTGGTGGTTAAGTGCTTAGCGGTGAAGCACAAGATCAGTGGTTTGAACCCACCAGCTGCTCCTTATTCACTGTCCGACTTTCATATGCATCTGACGGTATTTCAAATACCATGACTTGGGTCAAGTGTACCTGTCCTCAAACTGACAGTGTGGCAGCCTGTTTCCATACAGATTTATATCCTTAGAAATTCTATAGTTAGACAGTCACTATAAGTTGTACTGACTCAAGGCATTCCTTTTTTTTTCTTTCTTTTTTTAATGGGCATGTTACTTTACAAAATTAAGACAATTTTCATATTCTGCATAACTTAATAGTTTTTGTCCAGAATTTTAAGGACAAAGAGAGGCTAGGAGGCAATGTGGTGATCCTGGGTTCTAGCACTGTCTCTTATAAAGACTACATGGCTCTCAGCAAATCATTTGCTATAGATAGATCTCTGTTTGTCATTGACTGAATGAGCAATTTTGAGTCAATGTTTTTTAAGATTCTTTACAGTTCTGTGCATTTCATTACGCTCTTTGCCTAAATACGAGTAATACCAAATTCTCTTCTATGTACCTTATTGTTGTTGTTAGGTGCCATTGTGTCAGTACCGACTCATAGCGACCCTATACACAACAGAAGGGCACACTGCCCAGCCCTGTACCAAAATCACAATCGTTTCTATATTTGAGCCCATTTGCTGCCACCACTGTGCCAATTCATTTTATTAGGGACCTTCCTCTTTTTCTCAGACCCTTCACTTTATCAAGCATGAAATCCTTCTCTAATGACTGGTCCCACAAGATAACAAGTTTGGTGTATGAGAGTTAAAGTCTGGCCTTCCTGGCTTCCATTCTGGCTGTACTTCTTCTAACTCAGATGAGTTTGTTCCTTTGGCAGTCCACGGTAATTTTA